TAAATAATAAAATAAATGTTAATTATTAACTGAAATAAATAAATATTTTATTTCAAATATTTAATTTTCAGGCAACATTTCTCATTTTCAATTAGTTTAAATTAATGTAATAAAATACTAAAAACCAAAACAGAAATATACTTAATAACATACACATATTAAAAAAATAATAATAATATTAATAATATAAAAATGACTAAAACTTAAAAATTTAAACTATAATACTAAAACAATAATATAATAAATGAGCCTTTTTTCTCTGTTATGATCGGATGACAATGAACTTTGTTCTAGACATTGAAAACATTCATCATAAAAGAGATGTATGGACGTCATTGTGTGTATAAATTGCATTTTGTGTATTTTTAATTAACTAAATAGATCCAGAGAAAACAAAGTAAGCATAACTGACCCATTAAAGCACGTCAGAGTTAAAGCACTTTTTTTTTTATTGTGCACTTTATGATCAACATGCTGATGAAACATCCTCCCTTTTTAATTTTTGGTGAACAAATCATCCTGATAGCTCATTTTTGTAGGTCCTGATCGCAGCAATTAATGATAAATTGGCAAGTTAATATCACTGCCGCACATATATTAGACCTCAATAACCGTGAAGTAATTTCCGTTTTTATGGCCGGTAGAAGCATTTATCATCGGCGCTGCAGAATTACATTTCGGAAGAGGGCGAAAGGAGAAAATCAACACGACTTCTTCAATCTGATACAAGATTGTTCATTACATTCAACAGCTGAAGTCAGCAGACTGTAGAGATCAAACGCTCAATATTCAACATTTAACAGCTGAAGGACTGCAAAAAGCCTCATTTGCTCAATCATATTTCTTCTGTGTTTTACTGCATATAATAGCTTTATTTCATTCGTGAGTGTGTAGAATGAATCTCAAAAAATCAGGTCCAGGTGATATTTCACTCCAACATCAAGTATTTTATTTTATTATTATTATTATTATTTTTTTTTTTTATTATTATTTTTTGTTTTATTTTATTTTATTATAGGTCCAGGTGATATTTCACTCCAACATCAAGTATTTTATTTTATTTTTTATTTTATTTTTATTTTATTTTATTATTATTTTTTGTTTTATTTTATTTTATTATTTTATTAAAATTTTTAATTTTGTAATTATTTTGTAAAATTATTTTCATGACAAATTCTAATTTCTGTATTTTGCTTTTACAGAAATTGCAAGTTAAAGTGTAATAAAATGTTTTTCTTAGTTAAAGCCATAAATTCAATGCAGTTTAACCACTATACAGTTTAAATAATATTGCATTGTTCATTCATTCATTTATTTATTTATGTATTTATTTATAGGCATTTAAAAGTAATGAGACTAAGATTCTTTTTGCCTTGCGTTAATGAGAGCCGGGTGGGAAAATAATAATAATTTTTTTATTTTATTTATTTATTTATTTATTTTTTATTGTATTTTATCATTAATAAAATAATGTTTTTAATTACCATGAAAATAATGTCACAGTGTAAATAATGATAGTAAAATGGACCTAAAGGCTTGATTTTTCAGTTTTTTTTGACATTACGATATATCATTCCTGCTAGAACAAAAAGAAAACGGAGGAGAAATTCTGTGTCTCACTACTTCTACATGTATTCGTTTAGTCTGTATCGGGTTCATGAGAATCAAACTCACTGTAGCGCCGTGCTCTAGCATTTCAGCTTCACCAGCTCTCTCTTTGTTGCTATTTTTGCTGCTTTTGTAGCGTGATTCATAGCGCTGCCCACCTGCACTGAGATCAGTCAGTGGCCACCGCAGTAACACGAGCGTAAAACAGCAGAACTGATGAAATCTATGAATCCAGAAGCTTTTATAGAGGCCGTATAATGATGAATACAGGGAGAAATCTGTCATTTAGGGTCATACTGAAACACTTTCACTGAAGCTCTTGAGATCTGTACACACGGAAAAGACACTATTTGGTGTAGAAACAAGTTTGACTCACAATTAATTACAAAGAAACAGCAAGTAACATTGAATTAAACACGAAAGTTTGAAGTAGAAAGCAGGATTATTATAGTTAACTAAAACTGAAAAAAAATGAAATAAAAATTAATAAAAACTAGACATATATAAAACAAAACAAAAACAACTAAAAATTACAAAAACATAATTAAAATGTAAAATATAAAAATAGAAACAGATTCCAAATATTAATAGAAACTATAACAGTATCTCAATGATACTAAAATAACTCTAGTAGAAAGACTGAAATAGATTATTTTCTTGTAAAACATGCTTCAATATTTATTTTTTTGCAACAGAAAGTCAGAAAGTTTTAGTAAATTTCAAAATGAATTACAAAGAAACAGCCAGTAAGAAATGTTCAAGTACTGAAATACTATTTTCTTGTAAAACATACTCCAATAATCTTTATATTGACAACTTGGAAAACTAATTTTTACATTGTAGGTCTAAGCTCATTTTTTTTATGCTCTGAGATGTTTATAACAGCACAGAAAAGTGCTTGTTAACAGCATAATAGTCTTGTCCGCCAGCGAGGAAACAGGCGCTGATCTAAGCCGATGTGACACAGTAAAGTGTGAAGCATGTACCTGTGTAGTGCTTCATCATGATGCTATTTTTAACCTTGTCCTTCCTGTTCCTGTTCAGCGCTCATGTACGCCAGTATCTTCGGGAACGTGTCAGCCATCATCCAGCGGCTGTACTCCGGAACGGCTCGTTATCACACTCAGATGCTGCGGGTGAGAGAGTTCATCCGCTTCCATCAGATTCCCAACCCGCTGCGCCAGAGACTGGAGGAATATTTCCAGCACGCCTGGTCCTACACCAACGGCATCGACATGAACGCCGTGAGTCCACCTGCTGCCTTACATCAACCAAATATGAAAATGTGCTGGAAATGCACTCACCTTCAGGCTATCCCAGATGTAGATGAGTTTGTTTCTTCATCAGGTTTGGAGAAATGTAGCACTGCATCAGTGTCTAAGCAATGGATGCTCTGCAGTGAATGGGTGCCGCCGTCAGAATGAGAGTCCAAACAGCTGATAAAAACATCACAATAATCCACAAGTAATCCACACCACTCCAGTCCATCAGTTAACATCTGGAGAAGACAAAAGCTGAAACAAATCCAGCATTAAGACGTTTTTAACTAAAATACGAGTCCATAATCCATAATATCCATTATCCAGTGAAAAAGTGGTCTGGTCTGAATCAGGAGAGAAATCTGCACAGATCAAGCACTGTTTACAAGCTCATTCTGACGGCACCCATTCACTGCAGAGGATCTATTGCTGAGACACTGATGCAATGCTGCATTTCTCCAAATCTGATTAAGAAACAAACTCATCCTAATCTTTGATGGCCTTAGAGTGAGCACATTTCCAGCAAATTTTCATGTTTGGGTGAACTATTCTTTTAACGCTAACAAACTCACATGCATCACCTTTAAAGTGATCTGTGAGCTGGATTACATGTGTGTATTATAAATAATGAGTTCATTTAGCAACTGTCCTCACCAGCACATCCTCTACTATTACCAGCCCCAAATGCAGAGTTTAACGAGATTAGGCATTGAAGTAAAGAGAACAAATGAGCGTCCACCTCCAGCCGTCAGCTCCTCTCATTAAGGAGCAGTGGAGCGTTCTGATTGGACAGTCAGAGCCGTTATGATTGCTGTGCTGCTGAGTGAAATGATGTGGACCATAATTTTTCAAAAATTCTTTACTGAACCACTCAGCTCTGAAATGAATCACTACATTAAAATGTTGATTTAAAGACAACAAAGTACTACAAAAAAGTAAGATTTTGTGTACTTCATATGTTTTATGAGACTGCAGATCCCATGAGGCTTCGCAAATGGCATAAATGCTGTTCTTTTGAACTTTCTAATCATCAAAGTATCCTGAAAAATAAATTGTATCTCGGTTTCCAGCACAACTGTTTTCAACACAGATAATAATCAGAAATGTTTCTCGAGCAGCAAATCAGCATATTAGCATGATTTCTGAAGATCATGTTACACTGAAGACTGCAGTAATAATGCTGAAAATACAGCTGCGCATCACAGAAATAAATTACAGTTTAACAGATATTCACATAGAAAACAGCTATTTTAAATTGTAATAATATTTCAAAATTTTTACTGTATTTTTGATCAAATAAATGCAGCCTTGGCAGAAGAGACGTCTTTCAAAATCATTAAAAAATCTTATCTACTCCAAACTTCTGAATGGTATAACTTGTAGATAGATAGATAGATAGATAGATAGATAATGCTTTTGAGCTTTTAATAGTTGTTTTTTCTGCTCTTTCAGGTGCTGAAGGGTTTCCCAGAGTGTCTGCAGGCCGATATCTGTCTGCATCTGAACCGGACTCTCCTGCAGAACTGTAAAGCGTTCAAGGGCTCCAGTAAAGGGTGTCTGCGAGCGCTGGCCATGAAGTTCAAGACCACACACGCCCCGCCGGGAGACACGCTGGTGCACGCCGGAGACGTCCTGACCGCGATCTACTTCATCTCCCGCGGCTCCATCGAGATCTTACGTGGAGATGTAGTGGTGGCCATCTTAGGTAGGTGTGACTTATTTCAGTGACGGTGATGTTTTGTAAAATCCAGGATCTTTTATACTACATACAACACTTATTTTTAAGGATCTAGGATCTGTTTTCCACGATACGCCCCATTTAAGTCATTCTAGCTGTATTTCCGGTTTGAATGCAACAAAGTTTACTGTAAGGTCAGTTTGACCGATTCTGCGTTTATCCTCTAGTGCCACCTACAGGAAGTCATCTGTAAAATTGTGTAACTCTGAACGCACACGGTTCAAAGAATAATTCACCCAAAAATCATTTACTCACCCTCATGACTTTCCTGCATGACTGCATTTCTTCTGTGGAAAACAAAAGCAGATGTTTAGCAGAACATCGCTGCTGTTCTTTGAAAGCATCCAATGACTAGTGACTGTCAAACTCCAAAAAGGATAATAAACAAATAAATAAATTGTTCATATCACTCATATGTGACAGTCCAAGTCTTCTGCAGTCATACCAAAATATGTTTTATTTATTTATAGTATTGATCTAGTTTATAGTATTTATTGTTTGTTATTTTCCCCGTCCTATAGGTATCATTAAAAAGATCATAATATAAATAAATACATGTTTAAAAATTTTTTTTTTTTTTAACTGAGGGGATAATGATTAGGGGGTAATGATAAAAATAAAAATATAAAATATAAATTAATTA